TTTGTGTCATTAGTGCTCTCGGCGTTCATGTTCTGAATTTACAAGGCGGTTTTTGCATCTATTTTGTCCACTCCATATTGCACTATCTCAAGAGCTTTTCGAATTTGTTTATTTAATCTTCAAACACGATCATTGTTTTGTTTATTTTTTGTTGTAGTGAGTTCTTAAGTTTTTTTATCTACTTCAGACAGTAGCTGTGTTTGAGTGTTTACTATTTCTTCATTGTCATTCAAGAAATTTAAGTGACGAATATTTTTTCTATTGGGTTTTTTGATAAAAGCGATATCATCTTGTGATGAATTAACACTTTTGACCTTAGCTTGAAAGCAGTTGATGTTTTGCGTTGGGCGTAGTGTCGTCGTTCGGCTCGTTCCAATATGTGCACAGGCGTCAGTTACATCCATCATTCATTAGATTTAGATTTTTTAGAACATTTATTCCGATATTGGGCAACTCAGTGCAGAATGAAATACTTCTTCCTATGTTCTACTATATGGAGCTTTCATCTTCTTTCCACTCGAAGATGAGAATGAATGAGAAAGGAAGAATAAACGAAATCGATTTACGACCAAATGACTATCTGTATAAACTGTTTAGATAGGCGATACTGCAATAGTGCGTCTATTAGCTTCATAAGTGTTCTGGAAGCTGGTAAGATATAGAAACAGGGAATATTCTCGATAAAAAAATAAAAAGGGTAAAGCTCTCGGCGTTGATTAATTCCTGAGAGATGCCCAATGCGTTCGACTTCATTAAGCATTGTTTGGAGGTGAGTGAATGCATAGCTCGCCTTCACATTGACTCGCGGTGCTCTACCGATGTATCGAGCCAGTGCTGCTATCCTCCCAGACAAGTCTGGCACCAATTTGCCGACCCCGAAGAGATGGAAGGCTTAGTGGGTCATGGGCGCTGGTATCGATTCCACGTGTGTGTTGCAAGGCGCCTCCGACCACTGCGCCTCACGCGCCGCGCCTCTTATTCTTCTTACATTTTCGATAAAGTAAAGTCTCTATACGTTGCTGTCTATTAAGGTTTGTTCTTGGAATCTTTGTCCTTTCTTTATTAAAATTTTCAACGAGGTTCTATCGAACGACTTCATTATTTACGATCTGCAAATATATGTTGAAAGCAATTCTCCAGTTAGGTTCTTTCCTCTACGCGCTTTCGTACGTAAACATGCACTTTTAGAAAATCAGATGCTCGAAAAAGCACAAATTGCCAAGCATTTAATGGAGACCACTTAACCATCCGGAGTCTCTTTAAGCTTCCCGTTTTGCCCCAGAATTAATCGGATTGGAGAAACGCTGCTTTCTTATCCGCATATCTTGAAATCATTATCATTGGCCCCAAGGAAGACGAGTGTTGAAGAAAATGAACATATTAATACACAGGGCGTCGGGCTTCTATATCTCTTAAGGTGAGCCATCCATTCGAATCCATTGTTCTATTTTCAAAGGAACTGGATGCATATATAGTGGATGCAATGACTTTCGATGCCTGCCAATATAGTTCACCAGAAAATTCCCTACCCCGGGGTTTTAAGAGCTTGTTTTATTTTAAGCACGATTAGACCAAACCTACGATCAAAAGCGACAATCAATAATTATTAGGTAGACAGTGATATTGCTTATATCCACATTATTTGGGATATATAGCGGCGGGTGTGCGCTCATCATTCTCCACTGCTTAGTTTTCTACCCGTTTTCGTTTCAGTCTTAACATTGCAAGCGACAATAGTTTGTCAATACGTTAATTCATTAATTATTCCAACACTAATTCTGCAAAATACATAAGCTTCAATTTTTCAAATTGAGTCGCACACAATGACGAAAATGGCCTGCCTGCGATGGAAACTAGGCGACGTTGTTATAATCGATTTTCGATGAAAAAGTTTTCTTACCGATATGAAATGTTTGGAAAAAGCATAGTTGATATGTGAAGCTTCCGATTTAAGTATTTTTTGCGGTCTAAAGAAGTAATGGGTTTCCTGATTAGCAGCGCTGAAAATCGTCTTTGAAGTCGTCCACATCGCAGCACTTTTTGAGCACTAGAAAGAATAAGCTTACAGGTAGATCATTCTATTAGTACAGTATCTGCTTACTTTTCATCTCAATTTTTAAAATTTTTTCCCGTTTTTCTACCACTTTGAGCTTTGGCGATTTCAGAATATTAAGCTAAGTCAGGGTTGGTAAAAATGATTCGTTTGGCTCAAACAACTGTATCTTTAGTTTTTCGTTCCGTTTAGGAATCACGCACAATTTTCTGCCTTGATCCATAACGGTTCCTTTTCGGTTACCCACTTTCCTTCAGCTTTAAAAATGATATATATTTATATATACATTATTTATAGGTATATACATATATTATTCATAAGTATAAATAAAGGCATGTATATATATATATATATACATGTATATATATATATACACATTTAATAAAGTAGACGGATAGCACAATGGTAGTGATGTCCGTCATCGGGAGCATGGTATTAGTTCTATTTCGCGCCGGGCCAACCAAACATCTCATCCTTCCAGAGTAGGAAAAGTGGTACTGGAGTTGACTGAGAGAAAAACGACTTTTTGCAATCCAATTGGGAACGCTCCAGCCCTGCTATCTCAGGACTCCAGAGAGAAGTGCTCGGCCAACATTCTATGACATTCAAAATGAAATGAAAATTCCTCAAGCAGCAACCGAATCCACACATAAAGTTGGAAGATCTTCGTGAACAATGGATGAGAGGAAAGCAATCAAATGTGAGAAATGCTGAGATCCGCACAGTAGACGTGAAGACGGGTCAGGTAAAATATAAAATAAAAAATTTTTTATGAAACAAAAATATATTTATACAAATATACTTACATACATAAACATGTAGATAAATGCCTTATTCTGCGTTTTCTCCCAAACAAGTATGAATTTGGGAGGAAAATGACGTTATTAAAATAAGTCTTTGCTGGTTAAATTGAAAAGAAAACTTCATTATCTTAACTCTTTTATTTACTGCCTTTTTCTTCTTAATGGCAGGTTATGTTTCGAATTATAACTCGTATGAAATGCTGAGATATTTGCAAAACTCCGGACCACAGGTGTATGCAGTGGAGAACGAACCCGTTGACGGGTGATTGCTGATGGCAAAAAGATCGATAGAACTAGCTGAGAGACATGCAAAGCGAAGGACCCGGATAGTGTAGTGGTGAAGTGCGCTGCTCCCCGGTAAGGACAACAGTGCGTGTTCGTTCTCCACTGCATACACCTGTGGTCCGGAGTTTTGGAAATATCTCAGCATTTCATACGAGAAAACTTCATTATTTGTCTGATTTTGGTTACGCTTGCTGTCAGTTGATCCTGTATAAAGGGATTTCGTCTCTCGAGCCGAACTGTTTAGTAGTTTGCTAATTGGAGTGTATAAGTGCTTTTTCGTTTCACTGAAAATTGTAAACGGACTGTGTGATGACGATGATGACTGCCTTGTTGGTTATCTTCTACCATTATCTGGGCACAAAATGAAAATACCGGTACCTTCCGGTCATCCATGATGAGAATGCTATAGAAAATGAATGAATTATCAAAACTAGGTGAATTATAGGCTCCTATTTTATAAATCTGTATAATTTCTGATATTGGCGTTCACATCTTCTTTCTATTGTTCGGATCTGTGACGCGGGCGGGTTTCTTTTCTGCCGTTCTCTTTGTTGCCTATTTGATAAAAATTTGATGTGGTTCTTCTTTAAGGACTATCAATTTTCCAAATTTGTTATACCGAATGTGCCTTTGTACCTAAATGACCTTCAACATGGATGAAAGGGAACGATTATCCAGTGATGAAATGAGAAAGGAGTTGAGTAAGTGTAAAAGTATTTAGTTATTTTCTTAATCTTAGACATCGCACGAAATCACTTTATATTTCCTGTCTGTTCCTTTCCATGGCAGGGTATGATGCGAATTATAATAATGTTGAGATATTTGCAAAACTTGGGCCTTAGGTATCTGCGGTGGGGATCGAACACGCTGCTTTTTGGGGGCTAACGGGTTCACCACACCATGTGGGTCCACCGTTTAGCTTTCCTCTCCTGGAGTATAATGACTTATCTGTATTTACTAAAGTGTAAACAAGGAAGAATACGGTTTGAGATAGCTCTCATTCTGAATTTGTCAGTTTTTCTTTATTGTGATAAAAATTCGAGCTCAAATTATTGGTTTGTTCAGAAATAAATGAGCGTTTTTAACTCTAATACTAAAAACATCATAATTTGCTTCAAACAAAACGAATAAATGTAGCGGAAAGAAGGCAGAGGATGGAGTTGACGAAAGATTGAAACTTTAAAAATCGTCTATGTTGCAAACGTTTATGGAAACATAACTAACCACCATTTCGTTTCTACTTGTAATGTTATGTATAAAAATTTGATGTCAGAAAAACTAACTTTTTATTTTTTAACCATTAGTGGTAAGGTTCTTTACAAATGACTATGAGACCAGTAAATATACACTAAGAATGTAAACAATAGCGCGTTACGTGTTGATCAGTCTCTCGGCATGTGTTAGTCTTCATTCTCACCACTGTAGAAGTGAGTGAATGTATATTTGGCATGCAATATTACTTGCGAGAGCCTAACGTTATGTATTACGTCAGTATTTTTATCGCAGGAGACACGCCTCGCACAGTTTTCCTACCACAGAGAGAGAAAGGTCGTCGTTGCCCCGGTGAACGGGATCGAACCAAAAACCTCGTGTGTGCCATAGGAACCTCGAACCAATGTACTACACTAGACATAAGGAGTGGTGATTAATATAGCCAGTTATTATGGCAAGCGAAGTTTCGCTAATGTTATCAGTGGTGTGAAATTGTAACTAAATTCAGTGAACATAAGTAAACATGTCAAAGAGAAGAACAATAGCTTCCTAGGAGGGGAACGATCTTTACACAGTTTAGATTGGATGGGAGTTTCAGAATATTTCAAAACCAATAGGCAAGAGATCAAGAAATTCTTGCGATGTTGAAATGAACACGTATCAAGAACATCTAACGAAGTGAATGCCAATCGTGCTTTTTGTACTATTCTACTTAACTGAGATATGTTAAGTAGTTTCGTATTAAACGGGTGGGGATGGAGAACAATATGTTTGTGACCAATATAGGAAAGTCATAACTGCATGAAGAGATAGTAAGTAGTACGTATTGAGCTGCTAATTAACAGTAGTTTATTGTTTGCGCTTATCAACAACTTTGATGCTCAGATGGTTGGACTTCAACTTCACAACGTCCCAGACTAGTTTCAAAAACAGGACAAACCTTGCTCACTAACGTCGAGTTACCGCAGAGATTTCGTGCGAAATACAAGTGAGTTGAAGCTGTTCACTTTATAGTTTATTTTCACAATTCCGGAGATAAAAAGAACGTTATTTTCCTCGCAATTCGCTTAATACGATGAATTCTCGATACTTGGCATTTAAATGATCTGTTTCCATGAAGAATTGTGCAGGCCAGGCCACATTTTCAACTGACTTCTGGTATTCCGGCTGGGCAAGATTTACTTTTCCCAGAGTATCAAGATTGCCTTGTTTTCTCAAGTTAGCAGTGCAAATGGTCGCTTGCTGTTGTGGATCAGCTGGAGATTTGCCATCTAACCACTATCATGCTACTCGGATGCCGGTGATTCCTAGTATTGGTTGGCCTCTTAGGTGGAACAATCCGACATTGTGATGCAACTGTTTGTCATTATCTCTGCTGTATAACCTTGTGGGTCACTCCTATTACAAGGGAATACTGATGAAAATCTGTGCTTCATGTAAATCTGCTGCCCTTATACTGATTTCATTATTCATATTCACTTGCTCACTTTACTAGGGATTTTACTTTCTCGGGTAACAAAACCTCTAGAGTTTTGCTTTAGTTTGTTCTCACGACGGCTCTGGTAGAGCAAAAACAATTCGCATTTTTCTTTATCTGAATGATAAATATTATCCTAACCCTTTTATTTACCGCCTTTTTCTTTCTAATGGCAGGATATGTTGCGAAATATAACTCGTATATAATGCTGAGATATTTACAAAACTCCGGACCGCACGTGTAAGCGGTGGGGAACGAACGCGTACTGTTGTACTTACCGGGGAGCAGCGCACTTCACCACCACACCATCCGG